ATAGAAAGTGGTAAGGACAGAGGAAGGAAGATGTACTTTTCTCATGTGATGAAGCAAATGCAAGTGCTGCTGTGCCCGTTTCACCAGTGTCTCACAGTTGAGCAACAAAGCTAGTCTACGCCTTAGCTGCACACCCAGAAACGTGATGCTGCCAATCACGTACACAGGTGAATCATTAATACACATATTTTGTGTATTAATCATTAATACATATATTTGGTGTAAAACCAAATATAAATACTTAGTATAGAGTTTGCTAGCTAATATCTAGACTCCTTCCCTTCAGGGCCACACTGTTTTAATTTGCATATTCCCATTTTGTGAAACTAATTGCCTTCTACAGTAAGTAGAAGGTAATTAATTGTGAGTCAATCCTAAAATATCACAATTACTCTGTTGTCACAGGTGCATTTCAATAGGGCCAAAAAATGTTGAGGCTCAAATGAAATTTAGGAAGCGGTACTTTTTACTGGGTCAGATAATTATGGGAGCTGTAAGCCAGCAAAATATGGAAATTCACTAGTTCTTTCCATCTGCATTTACTAACAGATGTAGAATCTGTATTCCCATTGGAAATCTGCATTTTCAATTTTCTCCATCCCCATCTGTGTTTACCAACATCAGCTTCTCGTTTCAGAGGGGAATTATGCTTATACCAAGGATTAAACTCATGCCATTCCGCACACAAAATTCATGTCTCACATTTGGGCAATGATCTTTGACTCCGGAATAAAAAAATGCAAATCTTGCTCTATTTCAGTTTTGGTTCTCAGAAATAAATATATTGGCATTCATTGTGACCAGTGTTAACGCAGATTTAGGTACAGTAGGGTGCTTTTTGTGCTAGAACAAATAATATGTAGTATCTGATGTGTATTTTTTCAAAATCTGTATATGCAAACAAAATCCAATAGATCTTTTTAATATTCAGAGATTGCTGTAAAGACCAATTCTTAGCCTGATATTTTAGAAAGTGATTTGTTCCTTTGCCACAGACGAGTGAGTCAAGCTTCTGCCTGTGGAAGCCTTGGTAGCAGATTGACGTGTGTAGCCAGCCTGTGCCTTGCCTTCCCCCAGACGTGCATATTTAATGCTGCAGTTTGAGAGTCACATGCAGTCTGCTAATGTCTTTGTAAGCCCCCAGCAAACTCAACTTTTTAATGTAACAATATGGGAGAACTATTAAAAACACAAGAAGATATATTAATGTATTTAACTGTACATCAAAAATTATGAACTTGGCCCCTGCCTGATCGTTGGGCTTGGTCCTACTATATTTTTCACTTTCAACCAGAAAAGGCTGTATACCACTTCTTTGCAGAATTCATGAATGGGGCTGTTGTGCTGGCAGGTTTACAAAGTTTGACTTTCCTCAAAGGACCTCAGGATCACAGTTCCTTTTCTCATGATTCCAGCTAAGTACTGTGAGTTAAGGACGACTTCATCATCCCTTAGTGAATTTGGTTCTCTAGTCCTATTCTGACACTTTAATCTTTATATAGTCATAGACAAAAGGCAGTGTTAACATGCCTACTCAAGTTCGAGTTGATTGTACATCTGCAAAGTATTCCACTTGATAGGTAAGATGAAGATAAAGATGAAAGAAATTGGAGAGGAAGCTATTGGTTTCTGTTTCAACTGGTATAAGCATGTAAAAGCATAGGGATTATCAGGTACTTTGTCTCCCAGAAGTCCCAATTATGTGGATGCCTGCAATAATTACCATGATTACATGAGTTAGGTAAAGATGTGTTTAAACAAAATGCCAAGTAATTACAGCTGTTTATTTTTAATTTAAATTAGCGTTATTAATATCATTAATAGGGTAATTAATTTAAAAATGAAATTAATGTCAGTAGAGTTATTAGAATAATTACTTGACTGATGAAATGATTGAATTCATGTTAATTTTATTCTGATTCTGAACTCTCATATGATGCTATTCTCCAAGGTCTTGAACTGGAGTATTTATCCAGAAAAACAAGTCTATTTATCTCTTATTTACCAGAACTGAATAGGCTATTCATTCTGCTTCTCACCTGATTGGCCTAAAATTTTTGGAAGAGTCCACACAATAAAAAATGCAACAAATATGAGTACTCAGAATATTACAGGGTTTTTCAGTTATATATATCTATAACTGAATAGATATATATATATATATGCCTCTCTATAGTTATCCTGGTAGCGATACAGAAATTATTTGCTAGTGCTTTTCCTCAGGATGCTATTTTAAAAATATTGTCTGTCTTCACTAGGGTCTTAGTAAGTACTAACCAGGTTCAATCTGTTTTAACTTTTTGAAATCCATCAAAATTGTGTAGGTGCCTTTGTCTAGCTAGACATAGTATAAACCAACCTTTCGGACCTCAGGGACCACTAAATTCATAATTTTAAATCCCATGGACCACTAATATGATCTGCCTAATGACCAGCTGGGTGGGCGTGGCTAGGTCATCATGTGACTGGGTGGGTGTGGTCAACTCAATGTCACTTGCGTCGAGGGGTGCCTCGCCAGCCTCTACTCACCCTTCCCCTCCCACCCACTCATTGCCTGCCTGCCTGGGCTCCTTAGGGCCCCAACAGGAAGCAGTTGTTGGAGCTAAGCAGCCACCATGAGAAAGAGTGGCAAAACAGCTGGCTCAGTTCAAATTGGATCTGGCCAAGAAGGAGGCTCAGCAGAAGCACCTTACTGAGGACTACGAGCATAGGCTTTTCAAGCAGAGGGAAGATCTGTGGGAGTGCAGGGCCAGGTACCTGCAGGCTCAGCGGGCTGAGATGGTCAGCCAGTTCCAGGCCATGATACAGTCCCACTCTGGCTCTTTGCCACCAGCGGCGCTTCCCTCCAGCCTTTGTCCAAAGCCCCATACCAGGAGGCTGAAGCAGACCCTGAGTTACAATTTCTGCCCCCCTCCAACCCACACAAAAAGACCCCGAATGGGGAGACTCTCTGCAGCAACACAAATGTTCATTGCACGTATCTGGCCCAGGGGCCGTAGTTTGAGGACCCCTGATTTAGTGCAATATACAAAATGCAAATAATTTTTTTGGTAGACCACCAAAATTTTCTTGCAGACCACCAGTGGTCCACGGACCACCAGTTGGTGACCGCTGGTATAGACCATGAAGCACCAATTGTTCTGCAAGCTTTCTAGATACATCTAGGGATGTGGTACCTTATAATTAAAGTAAAAATTCACATTTCCATTTCAGTTCAGAGATGGGATGCTACTGGTTCGCTATCTCCCGAACCGGATGTTAATTTTCTGAGCAGTTCAGAGAACCACTTGTTGGAAGAAATCTTTTTCCACTTTACAGGGCTAATCCTGCAAGGGAGGCAGGAAGGAAACATTCTGGTATGCCTGTATTTCTAGCCTAATCCTTATCTTAATTGCCCTGCTGCTTTAAGTGTTTTCAGAAACTGCCTCTGGGTTAAGCTTGTTACATTGTAAGCCTTACGCCCAGACTTTCTGTCTGTAGACTGAGCTTCTCCGGAGTTACCTCCCTCCCTAGAGTTTTTTGTAGTTCTTTTATTCCTGGGGCTTGACTTTCTTAAAGATTATTAAAGGGTTGTTTTAAGCTTTTTGGAGTATAGTATACTTCCAACACGGCTGGAACAGCTATTTACAGAAGGGTTGGCGTAAGAAATGGCTGAGAGGCAAGATGCAAGCTTGGCATTCTGTCTGATTTTTTTACTGCTTTTCTGGGGGCATGTGATCTTTCCTTAAATCTGGATGATTACATAAGTATATCTTGTGAGGTGAGTGAGACCAGCTGGTATCTTTAAGTGGTGCAAATGGATCCAATGATTGCTTCTCCTGAGTGGGAAACTGTGCTTTGTCAGTTTACTGAGCACAGGAGTCTCTTGTCTATGGGGATTCTTCAGCCATCCAGGTCATGGTTGTCCCAAAGGTGCTTTTTTCAAGAGGCAACTGGACTGTCTTGGTTTCCAGAAAGTCCAGTTGCCTCTTGAAAAAGCACCTTTGGGACAGGAGTCTCTTGCATTGCTTCAGAGTGGGCAAGGCACATGATTGCTCACTGATAATAAGTGGATCCTCCTTCCAATTTGTTTTAGTTTTCTCTCATGATAATATGGCATAGTAACATGGCATCAATTGTAGAAAGTTAGCACCCACCCCTCTCTTAGAAGAATGAAATATTTTGAGAAATATTAAAAAGGAAGAATATATTTCCCTGAATGAAAAATGGAGAAACATGTTTTCTTAGAGGGAGAAAGCAGCCCCCACCTTCCTTAATAGCCCACAGAAGATGTCAGCACTTAAGAGATAAAGAGATAGATACAGTGGTGGGTTCCTCCCAGTTCGGCCCGGTTCCACAAAACCGGTAGTGGTGATGATATGACGTCACCGAACCGGTTCTGCTTAAGTGACCTCACTGCTAAAGGGTTTCACTTTATGAGCAAGAGTAACTTGGCTGCTGATAGTGATCCTTGTATTTTAACTATTTTAATTCCTCAATGTGCTCTGGCAACCTGCCTGATTTGTAACTCCGGGTTGCAGGTATTGCTGAGGAAAAGGAAAGTATTCAGACAAAATGGTTTAGGTTTCCATGATGGCTGTGACTCATTGATCTTCAGTGTATATTCCCCCATTTCTAATCTAATGACTGGTATTTAGGGCAGCTTTTTGCAAGCAAAGAAGCTTTTTGTATTTTTGTACAGGTAATCCTTGATTTACAACAGTTTATTTAGTGACCATTCAAAGTTACAAGGGCACTGAAAAAAGTGACTTATGACCATTTTTCACACTTATGATTATTGCAGCATCCCCATGATCATGAGAGGGCAGGCGAAGCGAAGCACCCCTCGACATAAGTGACATCGAGTTGGCCATGCCCACCCAGCCATGCCCACCCAGCCAGTCCTTAGGGCAGAGAACCAATTGTTAAAAAATTTGCAGCCCACCTGCACTGTTTCAGTATATATTCATAAAGTATCCTACAAAATTACTCTACAGAAATCCCTACAATTGAAAACACACTTTCAACAATTACCTTTTAATGTAAGGCTCTGTATGTTTTTAATGAATCTATTTTAAATTCGCTGGCCCTACTTTAAGTCTTTCAGTGACGAAAGATAAATTGATCGTGATGAAATTGTAATGAGGAATGAAGGTGTAAAGTTGGAATTTTTCTGTGCTGCCGGATTTCACAATATCCCCGGTGGGCCTTTTGCATATGGATATTTCTTTTTCTATGTGGAAAGACAAAAGAAATCAACCTTATTCAGCTTATGCTCTCCAAACGTACAGAAATAGCAGCTTCCAAAATTCCCACTGGCTATGGTAATTTAGCCTTTTGGAAGATAGCGTAACCCATGGTGCAAGGCTTTTATAGAAATTTGAGGATGACAGTCCATCATTCTTTTCCCATAAGGTTTTGTAGTTATAACTGTAATTAGTATGTTGGTAGACTTACCTCTGTCTTATTAGGAAGTTTTATTCATCTTGGTGGATCTGCTGGGATTTACCACTCTGGGTGTACTCAGATTAAATATTTACTAATTTGTTTCTTCTTGCCTTTGCCTGTTTCTTTTAATTAAAAATTAAGCAGAGATATTAGAACAGCTTTAGAATATCCTTTAAAACTAAAAAAACCCACTAACTTTTTAGATATTTATTATCAATAAATCAATTTGATATGCAGATGCTAAGAAATGAGAGGAATAAATATTAGATGTTCCTATATTGTGTAGACAATGAGAGGGTTTTAACATCTACAGCAAAAATCCAATGAACCTTAATCTACAAACGATACATCAAAAATTAATGTTTAGAATGAATTGGACTCCATTAAATTTGTATAGAAAAGAGCTGTCATAAACAGCATTTTGTTGTAAAAGTAATAAGGATAAAGCTACTTTAAAACATACGTTTCTACAGTTTTGGGTAGTAAATTATATAAATATGATTGTGTGACTGTTAGAAGAAATATTCTTCTGGGTTCAGCTCCAAGTGGGGAAAAAGTCACTGGAAACACGGAGACTGCTTGGAAAGATGGTTTAATGGTGGACAGAATCACATGGTTTGAGTTCCTGAACAGAAAAGGGCGGAGATGCTGAGCGTGCCTTGGTTTTATGCCCTCTCTGGCTTTGAACTTCCTGGGGCCTAGGAAGAGTATCCTGATTGGTTGTCAGACTCTCAGAGGTTGGGGGTCTTAGCTAGCCTTGCTGACTGATGTAATCTTTCCAGGTGCCATGTGGTGAGTTTCTGTTGCTAGATGGGTCCTATTGTGTTAGTTTCTGTTGCTAGATGGGTCCTATTGTGTTAGTTTCTGTTGCTAGATGAGTCCTATTGTGTTGCAGATGATGGTCCATTGACAAAGATGGGAGGGAATTGAGTTTCTGCCTCTGGCCCATTGACAAAGGGGGGGGGGGCAAGAAGGTGGGAGCTGCTTCGTCTTTAAAACATGCTTCTCCATTTCTCATCCAGGGGAACATAATATTCTGCCTTTTAAATATTTCCTAAAATATTTCATTCTTCTAGGAAAGGGGTGGGTGCTAATTTCCTACATGACAAAAAGTAAAATTTTCAGAGGAGAATATTCTTTTAAACTGTATACCTTAGTATACAGTTTACTGTTTGGTGGCCCAGGGAAGGGGGAAACAGGGGAAACAGGTCACGTGGGTGGTGGGCTGGTGCACACGTGCATGCATGCGCAGCTTGACTTGTACAAGTTGAGCTGCATGCGCATGTGTGCATGCTGGCCCACTGCTTACCTGGCCCAGTTGCAAATAGGCTGCAGCCCGGAGGTTGGGGAGCCCTGCCTTAATACATGGGATTTGACAACTGGACAATATCTTGTAAATGGATTCTCTGTGCCCTTATTATGGCCAAAAGACTAATATTGCAGCATTGTATAGATAAATGTATGACCCCATTTATTCAATGGTTCTGATTGCAGTCACCATTTCTGGGTGGGTTGTCTGTAGATTCAGTCTTGTATGGATAAGTATAATGAAATGTGGGACTCATTGACAAATTCCTTGGGTGTCTAATAACAGTCAAATAAGTATTCAATTCAATTCAATTAATTCAATAAAAAGTTAGATAAATGTATTAGAAATATATAGGGACTTGAATAATAATTACATTAGATAAGGATACACAGAATTGAAACTGTTTACTGTTATAATGCTATACTATATTTTTTCTTTGTTGTGTTTTGTTCACTCTTTTGCAAAAGCACTTTTTATGTATCCTTTTTTCTTCCTTCTCTTGGATAATGTACTTTATGAATCTTCCTCATTATTTGTTCAATGTATCTTTGTGTTTTGCTCTTTCTCTTTTTTTATTATTAATTAAAAAGCAATAAAATTACATTTAAAAAATAAAGATTGAGTGTATGGGCATTGTGTTTTATTAGAGGACTTTTTAAAAACCACTTTCTTACCACAGTTCTGGTGGGGTGAACCTGAAATATGAACTAACGTGATCAGTTTCTGCAGCTGGGAAATCATAGAGGGGGCTTACAATAGAGATTTTCCTGAGAATATTGAGTCTTAACCAGATAAACAGAAATCCAAATCAATGATTTATAACATTGATTTGTGGAGAACCTCTCCACAAATCTGGAGAGGTTCTGGCTAATTTGCAAACTATACTAGTCTTATTGTGATCAATGTGTTATATGTCTTGTGACTATCTAGCCTTTAGAGTTGGGAGAAACAATTCAGTGTGCAGCTATTTGTGTTCAATTGGCCTTTCAGAAGCTCCATCTGTTTATCTAAAACAGTGTTTCTCAATCTTGGTAGCTTGAAGATGGGTGGACTTCAACTCCCAGAATCCCCTAGCCAGCACTGCAGTGTTGAGAAACACTGATGTAAAATAAATGGTTCTTTTTCTTGGAGTAGGGAAAATTCTGCACTCTTCTCCATTGATTTATTCAGTGGGCTTTTAAGCTTCAGCTGGGCTTTTCCCAAAAGTTCAAGGCAGAATGCAATCTGCTGAAAACTATTCATCATAAATGTGGTAAAGCAAGAAAAGATTAGCTGTTTTAGTCAATATTTTTCCTTGGTTTACTTTAGCCCTTCAAGCAGTTTATTAGATGGCTTTCAGCCATAGAGTATTTAGAAATTTCTGAAAATTCAAAGTGGGAGGGAAACCTGTAACTGAGTTTGTAATAATCTTGCTAAATAGATAGGAATAACAGAAAAACAGACTGTTATTCTGAATAACAGGACCTTGGAGGTGTTCCAGTCCAATCTTCTGTTCAGGCAGGAAACCCTTTACCATTTCAAACAAATGATTGTCCAATCTTTTCTTAAAAGCTTCCAATGTTGGAACATCCACAACTTCTGGAGGCAAGTCATTCGACTGATTGTTTTAACTGTCAGGGAATTTCTCCTTAGTTCTAGGTTGCTCTTTTCCTTGATTAGTTTCCATCCATTGCTTCTTGTCTTGCCTTCAAGTGCTTTGGAGAATAGCTTGACTCCCTCTTCTTTGTGGCAGCCCCTGAGATATTGGAACACTGCTAGCCCTACTCAATTCCAGCAGCCGTTCTTCATATGTTTTAGCCTCCAGTCCCCTAATAGTCTTTGTTGCTCTTCTCTGCACTCTTTCTAGAGTCTCAACATTTTTTTTTACCAAAACTGGCAACCAAAACCGGATGCAATATTCGGGAATTATGAATTACGTTTCAAGAGCTTTAGGAATACATAGAAGATTCCTAGCATGTAGCAAAGACCGATCCATTTAAATCAATGCATCTTTCTTCATTCCCTCCTAATGTTTTAGTCCTGCAGAATTCACTAGTACATTATTTTGCTTTCTTACCTTTTCCTATTATTTTGATAACATGTGGCCTGATGAGGTCTGGACATTTTAAACAGTTTTTCTTAGGAATGAAGGCTAATATGTGTCCCAGGATAATGATGTGAGATCAAATTTGGGTTGGTCACTGGGATCAGAGATTTACTCTTCCGAGCTTTCAAACTCATGCTGGAGCCCATCTTCAGGGAACTTCTCTCTACTAGAATATGTGCTTTGGGCTGTTTTGTGAGTCGTGTTTATGTGGTTTATTTCTTAACCTTAAAAACTTGCCAGCAAGCCTATATGTGGTTAGTCACAATACCAAATTATCTGTAGATTTGTGAATCTTTGAAAATTTGGGGTGTTATTTATTCCTATATAAACCATGAGCTAAACCAAATAACTAAACTAAGTTATACCAGCAAATAAAAATTCAGACCTTTTTCTGCTCACCTACTCCATATAGCCAGTAGGTGGCAGTGTTTCTTCAAATTCAGATTATTACCTTGACACTATTACCATAACAACTAAAAACTTCTCCCAGAGCCACTCAGCTGAATCAATAGCACACCCTGGGAGGAATGCTGTTGATCATCAACAAGACATTTGGAATTCTGAGCGCAAACCATTTCCTCATTCAGAAAGCACATCTTATGTTTTCTTGAAGTCTTCCTTTATAGTGAAGTTTGCAACCCAATCCTTATGCTACTTCACTGGGAATATATCCATTTAAATTAGGTTTATTTTTCAGTGGCTGTCCTTAGTCTTTTATAGTATTGCACATCAGGACCTCTGAATTATGTGTCCTTATTGTATCAGTAATATTAGAGATTCTCCAGATCTGTGAACAAGAGTTTTGTAATTTAAGACATATATCTTACAAGAGATTTTCCATATTATTTGTGTGTGTATAGGATGGAATGGAGTAGCCTTCTCCCCTTGATTATTTTCTGTTTTGTGCACTTCAGCTCCCAGAATTCCCCACTAGACTGAAAGTAGAATCAGTGCATTTGAAGAGTTCCCATATTGAGGAAGACTGATCCAGAAATTTGAAGTCACACGTCCCCATTGCATCTTCCAACAGAACAATAAAGCAACAAAATCAATGAGCTTGGAAAGTACTAGTTTTCAATGGGAGTGGATTCTTTTACCATCAAATCTCAGAAGCTTCCTTGCACTTGTCTTAAGATCTTGTCCATTTCCCAAAATGCTATAGTGGGAATTCTGCCTGCCTTTACCTAGACCAGTGATGGCTAACCTTTTTGCCATCGCGTGCCAGGAGAGGGGGGGGCGGGGGAGGGTCGCGCACGTGCCCACGCGCAAGTGTGTGCAACCCCCTCCCCCTCCCCCCCGCTCCTGGCACATGATGGCCTGATAGGCCCGTTTTTCTTTCTTACCTGGTTCCAGATCCTCTCTGTGTATCTGGGAACGGCGAAAACAGCCTTTCCCACTCCCTTGGAGGCCCTACGGAGGCTGAAAAAGCCCATTTCCCAACTCCCGGTGGGACAGGAAGTGACATTTTTTGCTGTCCCCAGCCTCCAGAACCTCTCTAGGAGTCTGTAGGAGCCTCTCTAGGAGTCTGTAGGAGCCTCTCTAGGAGTCTCTGGAGGCTGGGGACAGGAAAAAAAAGTCACTTCCTGTCCCACCGGGAGTGGGGAAATGGGCCCTTTGAGCCTCCATAGGGCCTCCAAGGAAGTGGGAAAAGGCTGTTTTCGCCGTTCCCAGATACACAGAGAGGATCTGGAGCCAGGTAAGAAAGAAAAACGGGCCTTCCCACCCCCCCAGGCCCTCCAGAGGCAGGAAACAGCCTGTTTCCCTACTTCTGGTTGGCCCAGAAGGCCCGAAAATCAGCTGGCTGGTGCGCGCATGTGCCCCAGAGCTGAGCTGGCGTGCCCACTAATATAGCTCCGTGTGCCACCTGTGGCACGTGTGCCATAGGTTCGCCATCACGGACTAGACATAAATTAAGTCGAAACATACTAAACTTTGCTTTCTTTGGCAATCTACATAACATGCTGAATCATGATTAGCCATTGTCCCTGGGTATGCAGCCTAGATTAAGTCCAGATCAAACAAACCACATTATGACTTAATGCCATGTGTGAATTCAGCTACAGATTGCTGAGTTTCTGCTCAAGACCTTGGCTGTTTTCCTTCCTTTATATTGCTGGGCTGCCATCTCCAGCCTTTCTTTAGGTGACTCCTGCGGACTCTTCAAAGAGTGTCAGTAGAATATACTCAAAAAAGTCAGAATGGTGACCACGTCAATACTATCAGAGCTGTGCCAAAAACCAACCAACCAACCAACCAACCAGCCAACCAACCAACCAACCAACCAACCAGGTGAAGCTTTGGTCTCTCCATTGCAATCATCATCTTACATTTTTTTGACCATACCGTCTGGTCACTCCAGCTTTTCTCTTGTCTACTGTGGTGATAGTGTGCTCTTTGCTAGTTGGAAAACAGTGGGACCTGGGAAGAAATTAAGAGAGCTGTACAGAAGGGAGGGAGGGGTCGTTTCTAGGCTCCTATTCTCATGCCTTCCTTTTGGAGGATAAAAGCACACTATATATATATTTCTATAAGAATGTAAATAATCCTGGGCATAGATATCGTTAAAGGTGTGACCTCCCACTCTAAGGTTTATTTACAGCTTCTGTTAAGATGCAATCAATTTACTGGTTATCTTGTGTCATTTACTTCCAGGTTTTGATAGATCTGGATATTCTAATAGCAGCAGTCCTGATCAGAGTAGAAACAGCAGCCTCAAGCTGTCCATTTCTATTTTATTCATTAAGAAGAAAACACCTTTTTTTTTGCAACACTGATTCCTGATTTAAAATCTATATCTGTATTAGAAAAAAAAAAGACAGAAGGCTGTTTTGTATATCAATGAGAAATATTATTCTGGGATGAATAAAAATTCAAAGAAGCAAGGCTTACATCTTTTACATTAGCCTCCCTTTTCATCCCACATCTACTTCCCTAGCCTCCTGAGGACAATAGGACCTGTCTCTGGAGACACTTCCCAAGCTTCTACAAATTAACAATTTGAGTGCAGTGAGCCAAACTGGATGCGCAGACGTTGGGCCATCTGTATGCCTGTCATTTTGAGTTGTACATCATTCCAATGGGAGTAGATAATCAAGCTCTATTGAACCAGCCACCTGAGGCTCTCCCCGCATTGTGCTTTAGAAAATAGACATTAATTTAGCTAATGTGGGAGGACAATGTAACTTCTTTTTTGACATCTGAGGTTGAAGACAGTTGTATTTAGAACCTACAGCCTGAGTCTGTGCATATGAATTTGGAACTAATACGAGTTCACTTAGCTTTACTCCTAACTCAGCCCACAGGATTTCAAATTAATTGGTGTCTAGTTAGTACAGCATGTTGGAAGTTTTTTGGATCTTTATCCTTCTTGATTGTTAAAAATTGCTAGACTAAGATTACCCATTGGAGTTTGGGATAGTGCATGCTTGAAAGAAAGGTGGTTTGCCCCTACGGCTTTAAAGGCAATTTAAGGAAAACAAGCCTGTATTCAGCACAGTGGTATAATTAACATTAAATGTCAATTTTATATTTTTGGCAAGATGTCGCAGCAGTTGATGATATTCCAGTTCTGCTCCAGATAATTTTGGATTACATTGATTTATTTGGATCCCTTCCAGTTCAGAATCTAACCTGGTGTAACAAATGGGAAAGAGACAGTTTACACATTGTTGCTTCTTCCTAGGGTAGAAGCAGCTGTACAAAAAATATAAAATAAAATAAAATGATAAAATAAAATAATTCTCCAACTAATAAGAATTGTCACCTTCATTTCCATTTATACCAGATCAGTAATAAATAAAGACTCAGATCAGTAATAAAGAAAGCCAACCTGAGTCTTTGGAGAGGGGCGGCATATAAATTTAATAAATAAATAAATAATAAATCAGAAGTTGTTTGAGCATTTTTAGGTAGGAATTCATTGCCTAGGTATTTCCATTTTCCTATTAACTTTGGCTAATAAATAGTTTTTTCTCTTCCATTCATAAATTTCAATGATAAAGTTGAACATTATTTTCCCCTGCTAGCTTTTAATCTTAGATTTTATATATGTTGAAAAAGTGAAACATTTTCTCCTTGGGTTATATTATACGTTTACTAAATGTTGGAGCTTATTAAATTATAAAATCATATGAGTCCTGTATTATTCTCCCCTACTTTTTATATGTTGTTATAATATTTTTTATGAGTGGCCCACACAATAGAATCATTTGCATCCCAATATGAAGGTAGTGAAGTAGTCATGCACATAACCACACAGCTCCCTGGAGATGCTCTATTGATAGCCACATTTTCAAACTATGCCCGAAAGCTTTTAAATTTTATTTATCATGAATACATATGATAGGTGTAAGAGTATTACAAAATACAATATTCATGTTTTGCTTTGTTCTACCACAACTTTAAATTTGTAATTGATTTCTAAATGTAGTTTCTCTGTTCTTTCTGAACTAAAAGAGTTTCAATTTATTAAAGATAATTTTAAAAAAATATTAAAAAGAAATAGCTGGAGAGTTATTATATACCAACAATTTCATCCTTTAGTCCAACTGTAGGAAAAATAGAAAGAAGGTTGCTTGCGATCTTCTTGCCAAAAATCCAGAAATGCCAAACTTAATATGTGCTTATTCTAAAGCACAATAGGTACAGCAGTGAGCAATTGTGCGGTTTTGTATATGGGAAAAGCTTTTAACAAGAAGTTTCCTATTAAACTAATAAAACTAGATCTCCATATGTAAAGAGTTTGTTGAGAAGAAAGGACTGCAAGAAAGAAAGAGAAGCCTCAAGATTTTCTAATTGATATTAGACTTCCCTCTCCTTTTTCTGTGTTGATACTAGAAATAAAAGGTATACAGAAATTGGATGAGAAACGAACTGTCTTCAAAGTGTTGGAAGAAATATCCTTCTGGGTTCAGTTCCAAATGGGGAAAAAGACTCTGGAAACATGGAGACTGCTTGGAAAGTTGGTTTAATGATGTACAGAATCACATGGTTTGAGTTCCTGAGCAGAAAAAGGGTCGAGATGCTGAACGTGCCTTGGTTTTATGCCCTCTCTGAGCTTTGAACTTCCTGGGGCACAGGAAGAGTACCCTGATTGGTTGTCAGACTCCCAGGGGTTGGGGGTCTTAGCTAGCCTTGCTGGCTGATGTAATCTTCCCAGGTGCCATGTGGTGAGTTTCTGTTGCTAGATGGGTCCTATTGTGTTGCAGATGATGGGAATGAGTGAGCTTGGCTGAGGCCTTAATGGCCCATTGACAAAGGTGGGGGGGAGGCTCATCCAGGGAAATATATTCTGACTTTTTAATACTTCCTAAAATATTTCATTCTTCGAGGGGGGGATTAGGGAGGTTAGGGAGGGTTGAGGGGGGGAAATGGGGAGAAAATGTAATTGTAAAACTTTTCCAATTAAAAAAAAAAAACGGTGGCATGAATGGGCATGACCTTTACCAGCATTAGAATCCTGACCCCACTCAAAAGCAACCTCGCTGTGGGTCCCGAGTCCCCCGATATTTCCTGGCTGCTGGGAAGAAAAAAAAAAACCAGTAACCCCGTCGCCATAGAAACCCCTCAGCGTGGTTGAGGCCGGAACGCTTGAAACGACACTTGAAGTTCTTGCACGGAAAACTAAGGCCGAAGGATTACTTCCGGCGGGTGAAATCTGGTGGGGTGGAGTGCTGCCTACTGGCAGTTTCCGGCACCAGTGGGAACTGTGGGAATGATTGCGGCTGTGGCAGTCGGGAAGGTCCTGCGTTCCTCCCACCCCCTACAAGATACTGTGCAGAGCCCATGCCGATAGATGGCATTTCCTTGCAACGGCTTCTGGGCTCGCCGCCGCTGAAATTCAGAATAAGCTCCATTATCTTCCACCCGGGAGGTCAGTTTCCAGGGTTGGCAAAGCTTGTGGTCGCGGACAGTTGGGTCAGGGGAGGCTGTAAAAGAATCCGTGGGGAGAAAAGGGCATGGAAAAGGTCTCTTTGGGGCGAGACCTTGGGCTGAAGGGCATGCTGAAGTGTAACACTAGAAACACCCAGCAAAAATAAATCAGATCCACCTAATCTGCAGTTCCCCCCCCCTCGCCCCCAATACGTACCGGGCAGCTGCCTTGTTTTCAAGGTACCTCAAGCAGGATCGGGAGATCTCCGGAATGAAGTGGTGTTTAAATTTCCTAAATAAATCATGTAGTTGATCATCTTCCGGGGAAACAGCATTGGTTACATACCACTTTGAAAAGGAAATCTCTGCTTAGTTCCTGTAACCTATTAGCTATCATCAGTAGAGCTCCATGTTTATGCCTTCAACCATGTGAAGATAATGGCCACACCCCATATCTTGTTAAAGGTCTTTTTGAGGGGATGGAAAAAGTAAAAGTGAATGAACTTCCAATGAAGTTTAGAGGGTTCATACAAGGAGGAATACTGGACAGGTGCC